CCCACTCACCCACCCACCCATCCATCCATCCGTCCATGCATCCCTCCACTGTGTGTCATCCGTCTGTCCACCTATCCTCACACTTCCTGTGTACCTTGGTCCTAGATGCTCTATGTACTGAGGGTGAGTTCAGGGGTAGTTGGAAGCACAGGCTTAGGATTGTGGGAGCCTGTGGCAAACACAGTGTGATGAGACCCAAGGAGCTGGGCCCCAAAGCCCTTCCTCAGGAGGTCAAACCAGATTCTCGAGAAGAATTTCAGGTGAACAAAAAGAGGCCATAGGACTTTCCTCACCTGTGAGCTACAAAGCCAAGGGCAGGAGGCTCCTTCCCTCCTGTCGCCAGCCCTCAGACCTGGGCCCCGGCTGGACTGCCTGGCTGAGCATCACTGTCAGGGTCACCCTTGGCACTAGAGACACTTTGGAGCCAATAATTCTGTATTGTGGGGGTGCATAATCCTGTGCATTTTGCAGGTGTTTAGCAGCCTCCCTGGCCAGATGTCAGGAGCGGCCCCAACAGCCTGATGTTGTTAGACTCGCCTTGTTCCCTAAACCACGATCAAACCAGGGGAGAACCTCCAGGGTTCTAATCATTAAATCATCAACACAGAAAACATCCCTGAGCACAAAGTCAGGTTTCCGCAGGGAGTCTGTAGTTGTGTCTCAGGCGCATAAAGGTTTTTGGGAAGGCAGTCTCCAAAATGCTCTGATTCCGTGCAAGGAGGGGAACGGGAGCCTTGAAACAAATACTCAGCCTCAGAGCACAGCGAACAAAAGGGAGTCTCCTTTCTCAGTGGAAGCCTCCCTGTGTGTCACTGCGCAGACTTCTCACCAAACCCAAGCGCAGCCGGTGACTGTCCGCACGTGTCGCTAGAGGCAGGCTCAGAGAGGTTCAGCCCCGCCCCGGGCCACACAGCGTGGAGGACAAGTGTGGCTGCACTCCAGCCTGTGGCTTCAGCTGTCACGTCACAGGGGAAAGACTGAGGCCCTGGAGAAAGCAGATCGTAGGTGCCGAAACAGCTCACATTTCCACAGCACTTTTCTGGTTCTGAATCACCTTCAGTCCTTTTTTCATTCTGTTCTCTTGAGAGCCCTGCAGGCTGTTGGGGGTAGGAAGGGGGAGGGGGCCCCCCCCCATGGCACCAGCCACATTGTCCCAGGGAACATTAAGCAGGTGTGTGTGTGCAGAAGCAGGTGTTCCATAGACAAACGCGAGGAGGTCCCCGGTGCAGGCTGCATCCAGGGGTCCACAGATGAGGCAGCGGGGAGCCACTGGCCTGCTCTGTGCCCACGAGCGTGTCCACTTCACGTCCTTTGCCCGCTCCTTGGGGTATGACCCAGAGCCCCAACAGGTGCCGGCCTGCCCAGGCGCAGGCAGGGAGCAGCAAGTCTCCTCAGAGGGGCTGCTGGATTCACACTGAGCTGTCATCTCCTTTCTAAGCTCTTTCATATCCTTTCTTCCACTTGGATTTCCAGGCCCCTATAGAATCCAGAAAAGTCAGATCTCAGGGTCTGGGCACAGGGTCAGATTTGGGTTAAGCATGAGTGAACAAGCAGGTGTCCTGACTCGCACTGGGAACCTCTCACCGGGACCCACAGCTCACCTTCTGCAGACTTGAGGATACAGCTTAGTGCTGCTAACATCTAAGAGTTTAAAAACCTGGATTTGTTTCACTCTCACCTCCCAACGCAGGAGGGGGCGACACCACTCCCCTCCCAGGTCCTCAGAGACCCAGGCTCCCCCTCTTTCGTTGCTCTGCCTTCCTCAATATTTCTTCCTAGAAAGCTGAACACCTCAGTTCCCTGGCCCCGTCTCCACCCCCCACTCCCAAAGCCAGAACTTAGCTATTTGGCCCCAAGGGGAGCTGGGAAATGTGGTCTTTCTGTTGGATGACTTTGTCCCGATGCAAGTCAGCTCTGAAAACAGAGACTGGACCATGAGGGAGGAGGGCCACTGGATAGCATAGCTGAGCAGCCAAAGGGTACCGGCCTCCTTGGGGCTTTGACCCCAAAGTCACAGTCCCTGGCCTGGCTGAGAGGGGCCGAGGGCAGGGGCCTGCGCTGACTCTGCCTGTCTCGCTCTGTGCACGGCTCCACGCCGATGCCCGCTCGTCCCTGCCGCCCTTTACCCAGCACCCTCCTGTGCCAGCCACAGTGCTCAGTGTGCCTGCACCACCAGATGTGGGTGGGGTAAGACCTCCGCCTCAGATGCAAAACTTAAGGGGATGCCCCAAGCCTCAGTAATTAGCATAAGTACTTAGAAGTGCATCATATGTATTACACACATGTAAATATATATAAACTAGTCACTACGTTATATGCATGGGCACATTTTTCAAACCAATTCAGTCATTCTTAGAACATTCAGAAAACTATGTGGCCAAAACTATTTTTATCCCAGAGTATTTTTTTGCTGCAAAAGGAACACCATACCCACTGTATAATCAGCCCCGGCCCTGCCTCCCTCAGTGTGGGGCACCCACACATCTGTTTCTCTCCCTATGGGCATTTCACTAGAAGTGAAATCATATACTTTCGACAAGGTGGTCTCTCTCTTTTCTTTTGTTTAATGTATTTTTAAGATGCATTTATTTATGCAGAAATGGGGTACAGGTGAGAGGTGCAGAGGCGGTGAGAGGATTTCCCAGAGACAGAGTAGGGAGCAGAACAGGCAGATTGACAGAGTGTATTGCTAAGGGGAGCAGCGGGCGGGCCAGGAGAGGTCTGCCGCGCCATGTCGGTCACCTCCCTGGCCAGGATCAAACTCGCGCCGAAGCGGCTGCTGCTAGCTTCACAGTGCTATGTTCAACCCATTTTTTTTTTTTTAAATCAACAGTGTTTCCTTGTATGGATAGACCATATTTTACCAATCCATTCACCAGCTGATGAACATTCTGGCCTTTTCTGCCTTTTGGCCACTCTGCCTGACGCTGCAGTGAATAACTGTGCACAAGTCTGTGTGAGCAGGTTTTCACTCTCGCAGTCGGGAACTGGGCGGAGGTGTGGAGTCGAGTGGTCAGATGAAGTAGCACTTTAATGCAATGTTTTAAAAAATAAAAAACAGAACAAAAAGATCTCTGAGGAACAAAATAGCAACAGCTGAAGCAAAGACAGGCCTCTGTTTTATGGCCCTGTATTATTGTGCAGTAGTCATTTCCACCCGCAGGCTGCCAGGGCCCACATGAGGCGACCCCGGGTTTATATACAACCTTGCTGTGGTGGCGAGTCAAGCTCTTTTCCTACTTGGTTCAAAATGAGAGGATGTCTTGATGTGGATAGGAAGACACACTCAGGCCCCAACACAGTGCTAAAACCACACACATCATTTCATTTACTCCTCAAAGTTCATGTCACTGTCCCAGCTCTGTGCCAAGGTTAGAGAGACCTCTTAGGGTCAGAGCTAGTGAATGGGAACCCAGGCCCAAGGTCGGAGGCCCAGCTCGCCACCAAGGCCTCTCTCGCCTTTGATGTGTACAGACGAAATAGTCATCTGAGCGCCTCACCTCAGTTCTTTCTTTAGCAGTGTGGGTCATATAACATTCTAAGATAAGCACAGACATTGTTAACCATGAAGCTTGCTGCGCTCCCCTGGAAATGCTTGGCCTCTGCCCCATGGGAAGCCAGGCAATGGGAACCACTAAGAAGACGTGTGCCCCATGTATATGCAGGGACTTGCCAATCGTGTCCCCCCAGTGAATCCCCCATGTGAAAGTTTTATTTTAACCTTAGGGGTTGGAAGTACTATTTGGCTCCCCCAAGAAACAGGTATATTTTTTTCTCCTAGATAATGAGAAGGCTGTAGTTGTATTTTCCCCTTCACCTTGGCCACCAGGAAACTCAAAGCCTCATTTGTGGCACTAAGAAGTGTGGGTTCTTGCTTATTTGTGTTTTTACCGTTCTTAAAGTATGCAACACCACAGATCATGTATATATATGTTCACATTGTCATTTAGACCTTATTGTTTTATCTTGTGAATTTTCCCGTCATCGCCTAGGTATTGTATAAAACATCAAGTAGAAAGACACTTGGAAAGAATGATACATTGCTTGGCCTGTGTTTGGGCTAACCCAGCACACAAAAGGCCACAGCTCTGGTCCCGCTCTTCTGGGCTCCCCACGCCCAGGCCTGGTAACATCCCCCAGAGTCTGGAATCCTTTCTGGGAGCTCTGGCTTCCCTTTACTAAGAAGTGGAAGAGGGCCACACGGAGCCTGCACGGCCCTTCCCACTGTGCAAAGGGGCTCAGCCCAAGGTTTATTCTCCCAGGCCCTGCACACCAGTATGCCAACCCAGGGAATCCAGGGCCTGGCCTGTCTCTGTGGAATTCTCCCCTCTGGGTCCCAGCTGGGTTTTGCGTTGCCGGTTGGTCCTTTGTTCCATCTTAGAGACCCCCCTGCCACCTGCCTCTGTCCCGCGAAGCGGGCTCCTGTCTCCACTATTAGCGCCCAGTGAGCTGAGCCCAGGGTGCACCTCCCTCTCCAGGAGCAGGAACTGTGTTCCCTGCAGAAGTTTCCACTACAGGAAACCCAAAGAATTAAGGTGGAAGGGTGTCCAGCCTGGTGCCTTCAGTGGAGGGAGGGCTTCCTGTCCGAACTGGCTAGGGGAAGGGGCACAGGGAAACTTCCCAGGAAACCCCCCTGTTTTCAGCTGCCTCTAAGTGTGTCTGTGTGATGTGAAACTGACTGTCAGGCACACAGCAGAGGGGAGCTGGAAAGGGAGGGGCCGAGACCTGCCCCCCTGAATCCCAACTGCATCTCGAGCTTCCCAGAGAAGGCGGATGGCCGGGTCATGCTATTCGGGAGTCATGAGAAAGCGGGAAGGTCGCCCTCTGTGGGGTGACCACCTGGCCCCTTCCCCAGCTTGGGGCCAGCTCCCAAGGCAGCCCCGCACTCCCAAACTCACCACCGGTCTCCCTCTTTCCTCCTCCCAGGAAAGCCCTACGGGGCCGACGATTTCCTGCCTGTGCTCATGTATGTGCTGGCCCGAAGCAACCTCTCTGAGATGCTCCTCAACGTGGAGTACATGATGGAGCTCATGGACCCCGCCCTGCAGCTGGGGGAGGGTGAGTCACCAGCCCAGGCCCATGCCTGCCTTCACCCACCTGGCGTGCTGGGCAGCCCAGAGGGCACCACTCAGATGCCAGACCCCACTGAACCCGGGGAACCTGCCCAGGAGACCCACGTGTTATTCGGCTGCCTCTGGGAGTGTCTGCAGGTGTGCGGCCACTGCCGCGGGAACTCACAGACTAAAGGAGAGCGGGGCCAGTGAGGAGACCAGGTCACTGCTGCTTGACAAGTGCTGGGTGGTGGAAAATCCAGCGGGGACAGGAGAACATTGTCCCGGCTGTGCCACCGGGGAAGGCTTCCTGGAGAAGGGGACACCCGCCTGGGCTGAGCGTTGAAAGATGAACTGGAGCTAGTCTGATTGTGACGCAGGAGGCTCCTTCACAGAGGGACTGCAGGGCAGTGGCAGGCAGCAGCCCCGAGGGTTCTCAGCACCAGGCCCCCACCCCAGCCCGGGGCTTCAGTCAGTGGGAGGAAGTTAATTATGGGCCCAGGGCTGCCAGGAGGATGACGGCATGGGTGTGTCTGCTCCACCTCCCTTTGGTTTCCCTTCCCCTTTCCTTTCCTCCTTCCCACCACTTCCTCCCACCCACTCAGCCTCAGCCTCCTCCACCAAGAATCCTAAAGGTGCAGCCAGCCCAGATATTGGCTCTGAGGCAGCGTGAGCCTTCAGGTGGAAACAACACCCTCGAAGGATGGAGAGAACTCGGCCCTCGTCCCCTTTGGGCTTGTGGTTCATGAGATAAGCGGATCCTCTTTGCATCTGTTCAGCTTGTGTCAGCCTCTGGGGTGACAGTTCGGCGTGGCTGTGAGTGCTGGAAGGCCCCGGGAGCGTGTAAAGGCACAAAGTTTGCTGCCACATAGAACTTTGTCTTGTGCTCTGGGGCCTCCAGTGTTCTTTTTTCCTCATTAGTTAGGCCGTCTGGACAACCTGCCTTCCGGAGGGTGTGGGAATTCAGAAGCGGTCGAGGGTGATTGCTCTGGTTTTCTGTTACCCGGTACATCCAGCCCCCACCTACCCACCCAGCCACCTCTCCACCCCCAGCTACTCCCTACTCAGTCATGCACCCATCCATCCGCCCACCCGTCAACCCACATACCCACCCATCATCTCTCCATCCAACCAGTCATTCTTCTACCTGTCCATCGACTTGCCCAGCCATCTGCCTACACATTCATCAGTCTGCTCGCCCATCCCCCCTTCCACTACCCTCGTACCCACCCCTCCATCCCTCCACTCACTCATTCGCCCATCCACCAAGCAGCTACTCAGTGAGCCCCTATGTTGTGCAGACACTGACTTCAGGACGGGGCAAGACAGGCAAGTCTGACAGTCTTGTGAGAGTGAATGGACCCCACACTTTGGGGCCTCCACCTCAAGCCTCCCAGGTCTCCCCAGCCCTGCACAGGCACACGGAAGCACTGCGGGGTGAGGGTGTGGCAGAGGCAGCATGGACCTGTCTCCCATGGTGTTGCCAGCCTGAGGGGAAAAGAATGGGTGGAAGTGGGAGGTAAGGAGTTTCCAGCCCAGGCACTGAGTGGGGCTGGATTCCTGTCCAAACCCTGAGCACCCCGTTTCCTAGGACAAGCCCTGAAGAACTCCCTCATGGGCTCCTGCTCACTTCCCTTTCCCCTCAGCTGACAGCTGGCTCTACAGGGCTCAAGCCTCAACAGGCAGCGAGTCTTTGCTTGGAAGAGAAAAGCGGGCTCCCACAGGCGCCGTGAGCGGGGTCGCCTGCCACCTAACGGTCACTGCAGGCACTGCATGGGCCCGTGTGAGCGGCTGTCTCCGGGAGGGGAGTGGTCCACAAGGGGGCTGAGGCAGGGACGGTCTCTGTGGGGGTTCTTCCCTTCACCAGAGAAGGTGAGAAGCCTCCAGAGCACCTCCCCTGGATCACCTAGCCTCCATAAGTCACTCACAAGAAAGAAGCAATACACCTTATGATGTTCGTCACGACAATATGGCGGAGAGGGGGTGGGGTTTGCAGAGAGGAAACTGAGGCAGAGAGGTCAGTAACTCGCCAGACGTCACAGGGCTGGCTGCTGAAGGGCTACAGCTGGACCCTGCTCTCTGACTCCAAAACGGAATATGTTTCTGCACACTGCACTCTTACTCGTGGGGGAGCTGGTGGAAACCACCTTGGAGTACCCCAAAGAGGCCACTGCTCCCCAACAGCAAGGTGGAGTACACAGAAGGTTTCCTGGAGCAGGCGGGCTTTGAGCTCAGCTGGAAAGGGAGACGCAGACCAGTTTAGTGGCTCTTGTCTCATGTCAACCTTGACATACTTATTAAAACAAAACAAACAAACAAACAAAAAAACTCCTTCCTACACTGCTTTCTGCATGACTGTGGGTGACCCATGGCTCTCAGCCCCTCATCTTCCTCCCCACCCACCCTGGCTAGGGTGCCGGCTTCTCCTCTGCTGGGACCTGCAGGTCTATTAGGCAGCATCATCCACCCAACATAGAGGTTAGGGGTGCTTCAGGCTACAAATAACTTCTATTTGTAGTTACTTCTATTTGTAACTAATAACGATGTAATCAGAGTGGGAACTGGTATGTCTCTTACATCAAGAAATTCTGAGGTGAGCGCTGATAATGAGGGCAGTTTTAACCCCACCACTGGGAAACTGTGGGCCCAACTCTTCCCATCACTCTGTGTGCTTGTCACCTCTGATCACAGAGGGCTGCTGTTACTCCAGGCTCACCTCGATATTTCAGGCAGGAGGAAGGGGGCTGGGGCTGAGGCTGGGCAAAAACCCAGAGGGATAGACCAGCTGAGACTGTCCCTTTCAAAAGGCTTTCCTGAAGTTTCCATCCAGAGACTTCCACTTATATCTAAACTAGGTCATCAGAGCCGGGTCTCCTGCCTGTACCCAGAGCAGACCAGCAGCTTGTAGATGTTACTCCATCCCCCATCAGTCCCAAAAAAGTAAAGTTCGGTTGTTTAGGAAGAGAAGATGGCCCGATGGGATTTGGGTGGTCACTAGCATTATGACCTCATTACCACAGTCTTGGCTCAAAAAGGGTTGGGAAAAGGGGGGTGTGGGGGTGAGACCCAGACTTTCAGCCACGTACCTCCACAAGGCCCTAACAGGTGGGACGGGTGACCTATGTGTGTCCTTACCTGACTTTTAGCTTAAAACCGCACGTCAATTTTGCAGCCTGGAGCATCTCAAAACTTACATTACTTTAGGAAACACCAGATATGAAGAATTCGTGTGAATTAATTAAAGGGTTCTTAAATGAGAAATGAGCCATTCAGCCCTTCGCTTACCTCAAATGTTTATTTAAATGTGTGTAACAGTATAACCTCAATTAAAATGCTCCCTACATCTTTTAAAATTGCTCTGGAGGGGGGAGGTTCGTGTGTCTACAGTGAGAAGGCTCCGCCCACCCAGGTCTCCCGGCCGCACCTCCCCCCCATCTACATCAACTTCTTATAGAGCCTCCAAATTTTAAAACTCTCTTGAAAATTAAACCTTCCTTTTGCAACTGAGTTTGACTGCGGCTTACAGAGGAGCCCGGAGTGGGCTTTGCGGGATCCGGGCTTTTCCGGTGCAACCCGGCGGGCGGGGGCGGGGCTCGGCCGTGGCGGTGGGTGGAGCTTGGGCGAGGGGCGGGGCTCTCTGAGCGCCGCCTCCACGCAGGTTCTGACTGTCCGACCCCGCAGGTTCCTACTATCTGACCACCACCTACGGCGCCCTGGAGCACATCAAGAACTACGACAAGATCACGGTGACCCGGCAGCTGAGCGTGGAGGTGCAGGACTCCATCCACCGCTGGGAGCGCCGGCGCACGCTCAACAAGGCGCGGGCCTCCCGCTCCTCCGTGCAGGTGCGGCTGGGGCCTGCGGGTGGGCGGCTCCCGGAACCCAGACACCTCGGCTCTGCCTGCGGGTGCAGGGACCTGCCACCCACTGGCCCACGCCGGCGGCGCGGACACCAGCTCCTGCCTGCCAGTGCGTGCCCAGATGTGCGCTGGGTTCCACACAGGGGGCCTCAAAGTATCACCAGCTTTCCGTGGCTGGGCAGACACCACGAGGTGGAGGAAAGAGGCTTTTTTCCAAGCATCCTTAGCACCTACTGTCTTGGTACACAGGTAGGGCTGGAGATAGACCTATAAGTCATTGCAGGCCAAGCTTGGGGGTGCGGGTAGGGGGCCTGATCCACACACAGCCTTGACCTTTGGTCCCTGGACAAGTGCAGCGGCTGCCAAGAGTCCTCCTTCCCCTGGTCTGCCCCCTCCAATCCAGCCACCTGTCCCTCCCCACCTCTACACAGACTCAGTTTCCAGGCACTGATGGCCTGTGTCCTCCACACTCCCATCGCCCCTCGCACCCCAGAATACATCGTCAGGCTACCCCCAATTCCAGAACATGCTGACTCATTCTGCCCAGACTGGCGTGTCTCCCCTTCTTCACTGGCTGCCACTGCTTCCCTGACAAGTCTTCCTTCACGTCACCAGCGCCTGGTCGCCTGTGGCTTGCATGGGCCTTGAACCTTCCTCTGCTTCCTGCTGCGCTTCCCCGTGTGGCGCCCATGTCACCCCCATATGTACATCCATGCCTGCAGCTGTGCCTTTGCAGACAGGACTCAGGGACCCGAGCCGGATCCCGGAGGAAGCTGGACTCGGGCATGCGCAGAACAGAGGGCAGTGAGCCGGCAGCGTCTGGAGCTGTAATCAGCTATGGAGACGCACGCCCACCGGGACCCAGCACACACTGGGCCTGAGCCCCACTGTTGGCTTTCAAGATGGCTGAGCCCAGGCCTTGAAGGCTCGAGATCCTGCCTGCCACTCGGGGACTCGGGTCTTCTGCCAGCACAGGTGGACTGGGCCAGGTGAGCCCTGGCCATAATACCAGCGCCTGTTCTGGGGCTGCTGGTGTAGGTCCCGTGTTCCCTCTGCTCTGTAGTCAGTGACAGCTGGATAACATTTTAGATGTTTCACTTCTGTCAATTTCCATAGTATAGATATCCTCACTGTGGCCAGTATCAGGCTACTAACTTGGCTTCATTGAACTTGGGAATTGAGAAATATCCACAATTGATTTTCTGAAGCCAGTATAAGCCAGCATATGTGGGTGCGAGTCAGCTCCCGCCTCCTCCAGGATACCTGTCTCCCCACCAACTCTGGGCATCTGGGCACTCCTGGGTCACGCCTGAGCGGGAACTCCTTACTTCTCGCTTGCACCCTTCAGGGTCCCAGGGCTCAGCCAGGTAGGGCTTCTGGGAGACGGACAGCCCGCCACTGGGGAGGCAATGCTCAAGGAAGAGCTCAGAGATGGGGAAAGGAGCCTCCTCAGTCTCATTTGCGGGGTGTGGGGCGGGCACCACAGTCCATTCCTCCCAGTGCCTCCGCTGCACCCCATGCCCTAACTCACTTCTCCCGCAGTGAAAGCTCAGAGTTAGAATTCTCAGCAGGTGCAAAGGGCACTTGTGAGGCCTAAGCAGGAGACAGGGGGAGACTGGGCTCTCGCCTTGCAGGAAGAAGGGGCGATTCTAGCGACTGCTAGCGCCCCTGTCCTCCCCGCTGCGGCCATCGTCAGCTGTGCTGTCACCATGCTTCCACAAGGGGGCAGCCGCGCACACCATTTCCTACCTGTCCTCAACGGGCTTGAGGGAGAAGGCGCTGTTTCTTTGAGCTACTTTAACACGTTTCCTCGAAACCAAGGTGTGAGGACTGGCAAAGTCCCCTACTGTCGAAATAGAGGCTCAGAGAGGTCCAAGTCACACAGTGAGTGGGGGCGGATTCAAAGCCTGGCGAGGCGCCTTCCAGGCCTGACCCTCCCTCGGGAGCTGGTGGGGCAGCGCCTCCGCGCGCCGGCTGCGTGTGCAGGTGCCCCAGGCCCAGCCCCGCAGGCACCGCTTCCCGCTCGCCCACCTAGCTCACCTAGCTCTTCCCTTCCCTGCTTGCCTGCTCCTCCCGGGAGCCCCCAGGCTCTTCCCGCCGTTAGGGCTGAACTACTCCACCTGCGTTAGGCAGCCCCAGCTGGTCCGTGGGGTGCAGGGGCGGGGGCTACTCCTCAGGTGTTATTGATGCCGCCGTCGGTGATGCCCAGCACTGCACCTGGGGTGCAGGGGGACTCGGGGAGGCAGAGACGCCCGCCAGGGGGTGGCAAACCGACAACCAGCCGCGGTCTGGCCGCCAGGGGGCGCGCTCGCCTAGTTGCCAAGGCTGCTACCGAGTCGGACCCCTCAGCCCCAGGGATCCAGCCCCCAGGGACTCTGCCTCACCGTCGCTTCTGCAAGCCCCGCCAGACCGAGAGGAGCGTGGGGTACGGGAAGTGCGCGGGACTCGTCCACGGCCACTTAGCGCCTCACCCGCTCCAAACCTCCACCGTTGGGGTGCGGAGACCCGACGCCCGCTCGGGCCCCTCCCCTGCCCCCCACCCCACCCCCGGTGACCCCGAGCCCGCTCCCTCTCTCCCCGCAGGATTTCATCTGCGTGTCGTACCTGGAGCCCGAGCAGCAGGCGCGGACGCTGGCGTCGCGGGCGGACACGTTGGCCGAGGCGCTGTGCGCCCAGTGCGCAGAGAAGTTCGAGGTGGCGCAACCCCAGGACCACCGGCTCTTCGTGCTGGTGGACGGGCGCTGCTTCCAGCTGGCGGACGAGGCGCTGCCCCACCGCATCAAGGGCTACCTGCTGCGGACCGAACCGAAGCGCGACTTCCACTTCGTGTACCGGCCCATGGACGGCGGGGGCGGCGGGGGGCCGCCCTGCCTGGTAGTGAGGGAGCCCAACTTCCTGTGAGGACGCTGGCTGACGCCCTGATGGGCCAGGCGAGACTGGGCTCCCCCTCGTCGCCCACCCCATCCCCCCACCCCCTCTGTGGCTGGCGCAGGGGCAGCATGCAGTCCGAGCCGGCCCAGCCCACACGGCAGGGTGATGGTAACACCCGCACGCACGAGGCGGTGGCCCGGCTTGCTTCCTGGCGTCCTGGCCTGAAGAGGCCAAGTGCTCCCTGAGAAAGGGAACCCAGGCTCCGAGGGAAGAGGCCCTCCAGACAGCTGCTCCCCGAGCTACAGGTCACCCCTGTTCACCACCCGCTGTGCTGGCCACCCTCTCCCCTCGGCCTGCCCCATTTCAGCCTTTCCCAGAGGCCTGATTTCCCATACCTGGCCACAGCTACCCCCCTGAGCTCCCAGAGTGGGGCTGGGGTGTGTGGGACCCCCCAGGGGTATCTCCGGGTATGTGTCGAGGAGATGGGTCCCCATCCTTGCTCCGGAGCCTGCCCTCAGCTACCAGTGCACAGTTCCAAGGGGTCCCCCCGACACACCTGGAACACACAGCATGCCCGATGGGCAGCTCCATGGACAGACCGAGCCGCCCCCACAGAGCAGCCCTGACTAGGTCGGGCTCGCTGGACACAGCCCAGGAGGTGGCGATTGTGCAAGAAACTCTGTGGGAGAATTTAATAAAAGCCTTTTTGAAAATGGCATCTCCTTTTCTGAAGGGGCCGAGCTCTGCCCAGGCAGCCATTCACAGCCTGTGCCCCTTTCCAGCGAGGGTCCGGAAACCCCCAACACTTCCTGCGAAAGGCCTTGGCCTCTGCCTTCTCAGCCTGCTCACGCCCCGCCTCCCACCATCCTTCATTTCCGGTATTTCTACCTCTGTATCACATCCAGAATGACCCCACACCTCCTGCTTCTGCGACCTACCCCAGGAATATCATTCCCGGTAGAACTGGTCTGTTCGAACTCCCCTGCACTCTTCAGCACCCACTTCCTCCAGGAAGCCTCCCCTGACTTCCTAGTCTGGCCAGGTAGCCCTCACCTATGGCCCGGTGGCCCCTGGGCTTGTCCCTCTGACGAGACCTACCCTTTGAGTGGCGGTTGTCTGCTAATACTTCTGTTTCCTTCACCAGATCTGGGCCATTCGTGTCCGAGTCCTCAGCATTGATTGCAAATACACATCTGCTCCATGCCAGCACTGTCATAGGGCCAGGAGAACAGCAGAAAACAAAACAGACAGCTCACATGAAGCCGCAGGGCTCCCGGACTTAGCTGAGTCTCTGGGCCTCCGCCAGCTCGTTCAGTCAGTCAACAAACGTCTGCAGACTCTGGCTCCAGACCTGTGTGAGACGCGGGGCCTACTCCCGGATACAGCCGGCCCTGGAGGACTTTTCAGGCTGGGGTCACTATAATAGATAGGAGGAAACAGGCAAATTTCCCAATGCTAAGGGCGTCAGCTGTGACCCCATGATTCCCTTCCACCTTCACCCCACCCACCGAGGTACACACTGCCCGTTCCTGTATTCCCAGTGCGCCTCACTGGCTTCTGCTTGGCTAGCGGATGGCAACTTCGGGCTGTGTCCCTGTGTGGCCTTTTCTCTGTGCAGAGAGATCGGGGTTTCCTCCCTGGTAAGGACCCGGGCCCTATTGGCCCAGTTACCATTAAGGCTAGTCTCCACGTACATCCAAGATGCCTGGGCTAGGGCTGCAACCTGCCGACCTGGAGGACACCATGGACCCTAGGGCAGGTGACTTGCCCAAGGTCACGCAGCCAGTTACAGTCCAGAGTGAGGTGTGAGCTCTCAGGGCGGGCCTCCTTCTCCCCCACCCCCCAATTTAGGCCCCCCTTTCCCTCTCCACTTCCAGATCTGGTGGAGTGTGGATGAAGCAGCCCACCTGCCGGCTGCTCCTGCCCCCACCGCTGCCCACTGGTGACCGCTGGCGGGGGCGTCCTGCCCTTCGTGGGAAGTCTGAGCTGCTGTGTGCTAAGCTCCCTCGGGAAACCCCGAGTGCGTCCCACCTGCCCTAACATGAGTGTGTCTCTGCTGCGGGCAGGGGCCAGGCCTGCAGGTGAGCAGGCAGAGGGCAGCAAGCCCTGAGAGGAAGGCGGAACAGAGAGAGGCAGGGAGGTCCTCTGGGTGCAGAGTAGACGCCCCCACCCCCAGCCCATCCTGTTCTTCCCACCAGGCACCCCAGGTCCAGCTGGAAGACACTCACTGGCCCTGTGGTTGCTGTGTGTGTGAAACTGGGCAGGAATCCTGGACCAAGGCCACTTCCTGCTCACCCGGATCACCTGAGGTGGGGACAGGGGGCAGCAGTGGCAGGAACCAGGCCACACGGAAGGTCTCAGGGAGCCAGGCTGATAGCAAAGTGCGGCTCACAGTGGAGGCCGCCCTGGCCCTAGGCTGCACTGTTGACTGGGAGGGTGGCCCTGAGCAGCGCTCTCCAGGAGCCGCCTGCAGGGGCAGGGACCCAGCCAGGGAACTCTGTGGGCCTGGCCTCAAAGTCACAATAGCTTGTCAGCACAAGGGGAGGGTCAGGAGACCCCAGCTCAGGCCAGCTGCCAGCCCTCCACAGGTTGCTTCCCGTGTTTGTGCTGTTTCTCCATTTTTTTAAAAAGACTTCTTTAAGCTTACAGAGCTGGGGTACAGGCCAGAGGTGCAGGGGATGAGAGGATCCACCAGAGTGGGGAACAGAACAGGCTGCTCAACTGAAATCCACTGCTGAGGGGGGCAGTGGGGAGACAGGAGAAGTCTGCCACGCCACGTGCTCACCTCCCTGGCCAGGGATCGAACTCGTGCTGCAGTGGCCTCAGAGAGCCTCATAGAGCTGTGCTCTAACCCATTGCGCCACCAGGGAGGGCCTCTGTTTCTCCATTTTTGTTTTAAGATTTATTTTATTTATTTATGCATAGAAGAACTGGGGTGTAGGCCAGAGGTGCGGCAAAGTGAGAGAACTCACCAGAGGCAGAGTGGGGAACAGAAAAGAAAACTGGCTAAAGGGCGTAGCGGGGGGACAGGAGAGGTCGGCTGCGTCATGTGGGTCAGCTTCCTGGCCGGGGATTGAACTCGTGTTGTAGTGGCTGCTGGTAGCTGCATAGTGCTGAGACGTAACCCATTGTGCCACCTCACCTGGGAGGCCCTGTCCCCCATTCTTAAAATGAGCATACTCGTACCTGGCATTCCAGCAGCACCTACAGTGGGAAGAGGGGAAGTAGGGGGAGTGCAATGGGGAGCCCAAGATCTATTGAAAAGTCAGGTCAGGGTTAGTGCAGATGGGCAGGGGGTTCACTGCTACAGTTACATGATGAGGGTATAGAGGGATGACTCCTGGGCGGAACTGGGGGCACCCAGAGGAAGGAGCAGCTCCTCTGGCGGGGACAGTGTGGCTATAAGATACACAGGTGATTTTGCTAAGGGGCAGGATGCCCTAAAGGAACTCTGCAGTCTTGTGGACTCCGCCCCCTACTCCAGTGATTGGAAACTACAACTTCCAGCAGCACCAGGGAGAGAACTGTGAGGACCCAAGGGCGGAGCTAAGTAGCATTCTGGGACTTCGGGGGATAAATAGGGCGCCATTGCATCTCTCGCTCTCTCACTTGGGAATCGGCTCTCCGGACTGCGTGACTCAGGGCTTTCAGTTAGTTTGTTACCAGAGCTCCCAGTCAGCCCAGCTGGTAAGATATTCCAATTGTTGTCTCCTTTTCTTTTCCCCTTTTGTAAATAAACCCATTTTGACCCTTATGTGTGCACCTGCAGTACAACTGAATTTTAAGCGCACGGGTGAGGCCCCGCTGACAGGTAGCCCAGTTCACACTGGGGTGCCCTGTAACAATTTCAGATCTGGAGGTGGCTGAGCCATGGACATGTTCTCAGTTTAGCAACAGCAGTAATCCCAGGAGGGGGCCGCCCTGTGAAGTAACTGTGGGAACCAGAGGCTGCGAGGAGCAGGGATGCTGCCAGGGAGAGGGCAGGCGCAGGCCAAGAGCAGGAGGGGCTAGAGAACCTGGCACAGCTCAGAACAGCTCTCGGGAGTCGCAGCCTTTCTGCGTCTGGGGTGGGATCTCTGCGGCTTTTTTCAGACCGTCTTTTTAGGTCCTGGAAGATGCACAGGTGTAGGCATTATCTGTGTTTCAGTCCATCTCACCTCTTACTATGGAAGCTCAAATTGTGCATCTCTGACCAGTGTTCCCCTCCGGGGAAGAGAGCAGCTTCCCCCTCACACACACCAGAATAATAAAATGGCGGCTTTCACCGTGGAAGCCAGCCTCTGACCCTGGGTTTGCACAGCCCCTGTGCTCAAGGTTTCCCAGGCTGATCCAAGCCCAGGGGGTGGAGGCGCCTGCCCAGCGCCACCTCCACATCAGCCTCAGGCCTCTTGGCTGGCAAGAGCAGAAGCTGATAAGGTCCCTTTGTCTCTGTACCTCATATCACCTGCCAGCACCACAAACCTGGGCCAGGTGGACTTAGCACCTTGCAGCTTCCTGCTTAACAAGGACGATGAAAGAAAGTGAAGAGTTAGGGGAAATAGAGCATGCTGTCCTCTGGGCTGGCCATTTCACGAGGGCAGGGCCCTGAAGCCCAAGGCCGGGGAGTGGGAGAAGAGGCCAAGAGGCAGGGCCCAGGGGCCTGGAAGGACTTGGCCAGCAGCCTGGCCAGGAGCACTCGCACCCAGGTTGTCTCGAAATACTGTTTCTTGTGATGAGAAATCAGGGAGTCCTGAAGAAACTGCTGACCCAGCTTTGGGGTCAAGAAAAATATACAAGGGCCCTCCCTGATGGTAAAGGGTTAAAGCGCAGCACTATGAAGCTCTCTACAGCCACTGCTGTACGAGTTCAATCCTCAACCAGGGAGCTGACCCACATGGTGTGGCAGACCCCTCCTGTCCTGCCGGCTGCTCCCCTCAGCAGTGTGTTTCAGTCAATCTGCCTGTTCTGCTCCCTACTCTGTCTCTGGTGAATCCTCTCAACCCCACCTCAACCCACACCTCTGGCCTGTACCCCAGTTCTGTATGCGTAAATAAATAAATCATTAAAAAAAAAGAAGAAAATGTACAAGGATGGGTGTGGAACATTTGATCTCCCGGATGGAAGGAAGCTATTCAAGTTTACTAGGGTCATGTCAAAGGGCTTGGGTCATGGAGGATTCCACTGGTCAGAGATGCACAATTTGAGCTTCCATAGTAAGAGGTGAGATGGACCGAAACATAGATAAAGTCTACATCCACGAGCTCAAAATGGTGTTTGGAAAGATTCCTTGTTCAGTTTGCAAAGAAAGGGAACCAGTTATAGAGCTGGGAATAGAAGAGGTCAGTCCGAGGTGCCGTCCGCTCCTGCGTGGGCGATGCCGGTGGGCGTGGTACTTAAGGGCAAGTGTCTCCTGCTAAAGTTTTTCCAACAAATACATGAAAACATAGCATCGTTAGACTGTCACCATTTTGTCATCTCAGGGACTTCGTGGCTCTAGGTATGGAACATCAAGTAACACCAAAAACGAGTGAAAATCAGCCAGTGTGCCTCTGGCTGGACTGCAGCCGCTCTCCCACGGGCCCCGCCGTGACTGGGGAGAGAAGGTGTGAGAAGGCGCTGAGAGCATCATGTGTGCGCAGCCAGCACCATCCTGGTTGAGAAACTCCACAGCTCGATGGTCTGGCTTCTTCAACAGAACTGGAATGCAAGATGAGGAGGCGGCCTGCGATGCCATGCGACTGAAATCCTTTTGCAGTGGGTGAGACTGACCTAGTCTAGGGCTCTGCACATGATGAAACCACGAAGGACGTAAGGAGGGTGGTGACTTGGAGCCGGGTGTGCGCTGTGGCCGGGATGGAGCTCAAGGAAGGGCTCGGGGGTCTGGGCTGGTCAGCGTTACATGGCAACTTGGTTGGACCACGGTGCCAGAGACTATCAGACATGATCCTGGGTGGTATGAAGATGTTTTCTGCAGAAGAGCAGCATTTAAGTCGGTGGGCTGAGTGGGACAAGTTAGCCCCAGAACGTGGGTGGGTGGGTCCTGTCCAATCAGTTGAAGGTCTTAGAAGAACCAAGACTGACTTCCCCCGAGCAAGGCAGGCCTGGAGCTACAACCCCTCGCTGGGTCTCCAAACTGCACACTTTGGACTTACCAAGCCTCCACAGTCACATGAGCCAATTTCCCAAGATACAGTCACACTGCACATAAAGGACAGGGCCAGCCCCAGGGGGTGGTCTCAACAGGCTGGCCCAGTGCCAGCTGCGCCCAGGGAGGTCCTTCTAGACCTGGGCCTAGTTACAAGGGTGTTCACCTTACCATTCACTAAGCATTTGCCTTGTATGGTTTTGTTTACTTTACAACAGAAGTGTAGAAAATACAACACACACAGGTGTGCAGAGTCATAGAAAGGAGGTTCTCGTGCTGAAGACTGCACTGGCTGACTTTGGGGTGGCAAGGGGATGGCCACATTTTGTCGCAAACGTGTACCAGCGACCTCTTGTGGCAGGAACGCAGGTTAGCACGACTTGGATAAAAGTAAGGGGAGGAGGCACGCTGGTCCTAAACACACATAGAAAGGTCAACCTTGTTAGAAATCGAACAGAAAATGTTAACACAGGAGTGTTGACCCCATGCTTACTGGGGTCAACAAGCCTCAAGAACTTGAAGAAAAAGAGACAAGACCGCATGACTTGTGAACTGTCATTTATTTGAGAAATGAAGCATAGTTGTTTGTGATATTTAGAACCTTCCACACTCAAGTTTCTGTATTTATTAAGTAAGTAGTAGACTTTGGTTCTCAGGAAGGACAAGAGAAACGAGGTGACATGGGAAACTAACAGTGGAACGGGGTTCTTAACCACCTATATCTTGAGGCCTTTTAAGATACTCCCCTGAGAATTCTACTTTTTAGGCCCACCCTGGTGGCACAATGGGTTAGGACACAGCACTGCAAGCTAGCCACAGCTGCTTCAGTGAGAGTGTGATCCCTGCCCCAGAGGTGACCCATATGGCACAGCAGACCTCTCCTGACCCACCTACTGCTCCCCTCAGCTGTGTACCTCATCAATCTTCTGTTCTGCTCCCCACTCTGTCTCTGGTGAATCCTCTCACCGCCCCTGTGCCTCTGGCCTCTACCCCAGTTCTGTGTGCATAAATCAATCTGAAGGACAACAGTTTGGCTAACTCTGCAATTCTGGGCCCCGGCTGATAAGGAGACCGTCCTTGGCTCCGTCCTGCTTATTGTATCTTTTCTTTTCGGACACTCTTTCACGACTCCTCCTGCCTCTCTCTCCGCCCGACCGTGGCCCAGTCAATGGGCACTCGACATGATACCTTTTATGTGTATATAAATTCAGCTCTGAAATAAAATAGTACTTCTTCTTCTTCCTTTTGGTGAACAGACTCACGGCGTCCATCTTTCCTTCTGCTTTTTCCTTTCACAATCTTTTTTAAAAATCCACTTTTAAATACTTGCATTCTTTGCACATCAGTCAGCCCACAGGTGTGCCCAGTGCTGACCTTGAGGGGCTTGCACTTGTTCCCTAAAACCTTACAGCTCCCCCAAATCTATAGGACAGCCTTTTAATCTGCCATCAACTGAGCTCACTCAGGTCATTTGTGCCGACAAAGAAATGAGCCCACCAGAAAGACAAGTACTTCTAACTTGTCACAGTCATAAGACTTGTCTGCCATATCCCAGCTTCCTGCCCAAAGCTGTGTCCATGGCTGACGAGACCCGCACACTCCCGAAAGGCGGGCTATCCCAAGTGTCGGGGTCAGTGTTGCCTGTTTCTCTGCTTTCTCTCTCAACAGTTGTGTGGTTAATGCTTAAAATCATTTTTTTTGACATACAAGTCCCAAGCTACCCGATGAGCCCACTTAAGTTCAACGTCACATCTTTCAGCATATTCAGTTGTTCCACTGTCACCACAAAGCAGCCTCACGCCATCAGTGTCCCTGTTTCCCCACCCCTGAGCACCATTCATCCAGATTTGCTTCTAGTTTTGCTTCTTCTGGATACTTGATGGGTGGAATCATAAGATGTGCCCTTTCCTGGTTGGCTTTTTTTTTTTTTTTTTGCTATGTATTTTACATCATTGTATTTTACATCATTAAGCAAAGAAAGCATTTTTTAAGCAAAGAAAGCATTTTTTGCTTTCTTATCTCAGCTGTAGTCCCCATAGAATTTCCAATCACCAGCAAGCACCAGTCTCCTGTGCTCTTCCCTCCCTAGTTTCTCCCTCCTCCCCATCAGACTATCTCTGATTTATAGTTGTTTACATTTTTCTTTTGTTGTGTTGCTTATTTTTTTCTCTGATGCCTTACTTGGTTCCCCTATGTTCTTCCTGTAAGTGAAACCATCTATTATTTTCCTTTTCCCTTCTGTTTTATTTCACTGAGCATAACCCCTTCCAGCTCCATCCACCTTGCGAATAGCATTAGTGTGTCTTTTTTGATTGCTAAATAGGATTTCATTGTGTAGATACACATCATCTTGATCTAGTCATCTATTTTTGGGCATTTTTGTTTCCAGGTTTTACTTATTATAATGTTGCAATAAACATAGGGGTACAGTTCTTTTGAATTAATGTTTTTGTATCCTTTGTACAAAAACATTTGTATCAGTTATACAGTGCAACTGCTGGGTCAAGTGGCAGCTCCATTTTTAGTAGCCACACAGCTTTCCACAGTGGTTAGACCAGTATGCACTCCCACTAGCAGTGGAGAGTTCCTTTTTCACTACATCCTCGCCAACATTTGTTGCTAGTTTGTTTGAAATGAGCCATCCTTATTGGTGTCAGGTTGTGTCTCATGGTTTTGATTTGCATTTCCCTGCTTATGAAGGATGTTGAGCACTTTTTCATATGCCTGTTGGCCATCTGCATTTTGCCTTTGGAAAAGTGCCTTTTAAGTTCTGCCCTTTTCTTGGTTGGATTGTTTACTTTGTTTTCATTGAATCATGTGAGTTCTTTGTATATCTTTGTGATCAGTCCCTTATCGGTTGTGTGGTGTGCAAAATTATTCTGCTTATTAGTAGGGTGTCTCTTTGTTATGGTTACTGTCTCTGTTGCTGTACAGAGCTTTTGATTTAATGTAATCCCAGGTGCTTATCTTTTCCTTCACTATGCTTTGGGGGATGAGTCTTTAAAGATGCTACTGAGATGTATGTCTTGTGTTTTACCTATATTTTTTCCATATAGTTTATGGTTTCAGGTCTTAAGTTCAGATCTTTTATCCATTTTTTAATTGATTTTTGTACATGGTGTGCGGTAGTCCTCTAGTTTCTTGCTTTTGCTTATGTTGGTCCAGTTTTCCTAGCACCATTTGTTGAACACACTGTCCTTGTTCCCTGATTGGCTTTTCACTTGGTTTCATGCCGTAGCATGTATCAGTGCTTTGTCCTTTTTCTCACTGCATAATATTCCATGACATGGACATCAGTAGTGTCACTTACACGTCATTAACTAAACACATCCCAAGTTCCTCCCCACGTGGGAGGCCAAGGGAAAAAAAGTCAAGACAGGAAGTCTTGGCCCTGGAGAAGCTCCCTAAGGGCAGACCCTGATACATGCTAAAGGATGAAAATGCAGATGATAGAGGAGGGAACTTGTAATGCATGGAGAGAAGCAGAAGCTGAAGTTCTGAGGAAGAAGGGGGATTTTCTTCCTATATGCCTGGAAGGTATCAGAGGAAGGAAAGGCACACCTGGACAAGAAGAACAGCAAGTAGCAAAGGCACAGGAGGCTGCTAGGTCCCAGGAGTGCACAGGGGCCCCAGCAGAACAAGGGAGCTGGCCCCGCCTCGAGGAGGAGGAGCATAACTACCAAGTCAGGGGCCCAAATTAATACTCCAGTTCAGTTATAAATCTTTATTTTTTCTAAGACATATCCATTGTTGTGGAATTAAATACAAAAGTAATCAAATCAAATCTAATTATTTTCTAAAAGTAATTTTCCACTTGGGGCTTACATTCCTCTCCATACAGTCATTCTTAAAGGTTTCAGTTTCAAATTCCTCAAAGACTCACAGGTGACAGAAGCCCCAGTGAACTTCCTGGGCAAAGATTACATACAATATGCAAAGGCAAAAAGCCTTTCTCAGCAGAGCTCCGCCCACCTAAACTTAGGGTTTTTCCTGAGCATCACACAGGACCTGCAGGTTGGGGAGAGGCAAAGATGAGCAGCTGTCTTGTAGTGGCTGGCCTGCGATCCTGGGGGGCCTGGGGCCACAACTCAGCTTCCCTCCTGCTCCAGCTCTTCAGTCTGGGCATGGCAAATGCTACAGGGGTGCTCACACTTGGAAACATATCCAGCTGGTGCCCGTTCAGTAGTTAGTGAGGCATACCTTGTCCATCGACATCTTTATTCTGTAAGAAACAGGAGATGCTGGTGAGCCACAGTGAGCCCATGGGAATGAAGACAAAACCCACATGTGACCAGCAGTCATGGTGACAGACCCACCCCACCGTGACAGTGGCAAATCATCTCGGTTGAATTCCTCCTCCACAGCAGCTGGCAGGACAGCTGCCCGCCTGCAGACGGGAGAGCAGAGCCGTTCCTGATGACTCACCTGTCGACTGGGTAAGGTTCTTCACAGAGGTTGACCAGCACGTACAGGAACCGCAGAGCATGTTCATGCTGCTGAAAAACAGACCGAAACACATGATCAACCTCATTCCACTTCCATCAACTCACCTTGGGAGCCTCCCACTTCTATAATGACGGAGAAGCATCTCTGGACCTGTGGCTATTGAGCTTTTTGGGGCCATGGACCCCATTCCCACACATGTTGATCACCTGGTGAGTTTATGGAGCATTTCTCAAGACAAAGGCATCTGTGCCTGCCTGGCAGGCCTCCTGGAGCAGGACTGGTGAGGGAAACCCCAACCTGCCCCCTGCACCCGGGACCGCTCATCCTCCAGCTCTGGGGTCTGGGAACCGCGCTCCCATGGGGACACACAGGTGAGGAGAGGAATGGACAATGAGCGCCAAGCCAACCACTCAGAACACCAAAGCGACGGGGACGTTTATATCGGGGAAAAGAAGCAAACACAACTTCAAGGGAACCCAGGAATTCTCGCAAGAAAGAGGGAGGTGGTTCACGAGGTCTGAGACCTCCGCAAGGTGCGTATCAACCAGAGAATAAAGTAGAGACCTTATTAAGTAAATGGGAAATTCTTAATTAACAGATTTTTTAATGTATTTTTGTTAAAATAAATGAAAAATATAAAATTCTAATAATGGACAGCTGCCCCCCTGAGTCCCAGGCCAGTCACCCTTGGAAGCTGTCCAGCCTGGGGCTCACATCACTGCTCAAATAATTTTCTGCAGGAAGGGAATGTTCATGAAATTCTCCGACGTGGTTGCCACACCCACGGTAGCTACTAAACAAAGATGTGGCCAGTGCAGCTGCGGAACTGGGCGTAGGTAGGTATTACTTTACTTCAGTTATCTTAAATTCCAGCTTAGGAGTCACGTGAGGCCCGTGGCCGCTGCGCCAAACAGAAGAGCACTGAGCAGCAGGAGGGTGACTCTGCAAAGGGCTGGGGCCCGTGGCCCTGGTGTGCAGGCAGCTGCAGGGCCACGGGCCACGACAGGGCGGCTGTGCTCTCACGATGCTGTATTTTATCTGTGTTGTATCTGAACAGGCTGTGGGGGAAACAGGAAGCTGTGGGAGGGTGTGGCCATGTGTCACCCCCGCCAGAGGATTCACCCCTACAGTGCAGACACCTGTACTGTCCCTCCTGCCCCACCTGGCACCCTACAGCCTGCAGGAGCGGGTCCCTTCTTCCCTGGGGCCAGGGCCTGACTTCAACAGTAAGCCTGGGAGAGAGGTCACAACAGACTGCAGGGAGAACTCCTGCACAGCTGGTGTGAGGAATGGGCCTCGGCAGAGACAGCAAATTGAAGTGCTCTTAGCGTCCAGGAGAGGGGTAATCTAACCACAGGGATAATTCAGGGTGTCTGTGGCCAAGGGGGATGAACTATGAGCTTGGATGACCTTCCTCTCCTCCCCATCAACAGCCTATGACATAAGCTTGCTGTTTCTTAGCCTTCTTGGAAGGATGGAACTATCTAGAAGTTAATGCATCTGATTTGACTGCTGGTGGACAATATTAATTTAGCTTTGGGGTTTAAGATTCAGGGAGCAGACAGAAGGTAGGGTTCAGCAGCCAGCAGCCCTAGAGTCCAGGCTCACCACGGAGGAATGCCAGTTGAAGCAGCGTGAGCGGAAATGGGACACGGCCGCCTGGTAGCAGTCATGGGCCGTGAGCGTGGCCCGCGCCGACAGGAGCCGATCCGCCTCGGCGTCAGACCTCGCAAGCAGGGAGACAATCTTCTGCACCGACTTCTCGATGACAGTCCTGGCCTGTGGAGAGACACATGTTCTGGAAATGCCTCTCACTGCAAGTGGGTTCCCCTGAACCTGGACTGCTTAGCAGCTAGTCTTTACCCAAAGGTTAGAACGAAGGGGAAGGATGAGCAACACGAGCGACAGGAGCTGCTCACGGCTAGAGACTTGGGGGGGCTTTGCCTGCCAGGGCTCCCCCTGGGGGAGGCATTTACATCTCAACACCTGAAGAGCAGCCTGGCCACACTGAGTTAGGGGCCTGCAGCAGTCGTGCCCAACGACTTGTCCACGAGTGATGCTATGTGCTCATGGGCACTTCTATCTGTTCTAGAAACCACCCAACAGCTGCACAGAGGGGCACACAGCAGCAGCTTCTTCCCAGAAAATGAAATCTGGCGTCACGAACTGCTGCTCCCCACAAAGGTCAGGGCCGCATCCCCCAACTGCCCCTTCCCAGTCTGGGCCTTTCAGTCTGAGCACAACTGAAACCTGCTGCCCGCTGTGTGTCAGATGAGGGGTCCAGAGAGGGGCCCACAGAACCCCTCCCCGGTATGTATCCATGGGAGGTTAGTGTTCTTCAAACACTCCAGCCAGAACCACAGAGCCCGTCAGTGACGGCAGCGGCTCCATCTCTCTGGGCAGAAGGGTCTCGGGGAAAATGAAGTAACACTGCTCTCAGCAAAATCATTATTTTCAAAATGGCTATTTTTCATCAAAAATGTTATTACATTAATACAAAAAGGCTTGTTATTTCTAAAAGATTTAGTAGTTGGAGGATCTCAGTCTTCATTTCTAATGCTGTCAATAGCAATACACCCATCTACAAGGCTCTCTGGGGTCAGCCACCTGAGCGAGTAAAGGGGGCGGTGGCTAGCATACGACACGTGACCCCGGACACCTGCCCTGGTCACAGAGCGCAGAGTGAGGACTGATTAGCAGGGTGATGTGCTATCAGCTAAAATGGATCACAGAGTCTTAAAGATCTTACCGAAAGTTCAGGCTGCCCAAGCGCCCAAGACCTGCACTGAGCCAACGCTGGGACAGGGCAGCCCGGCTGGCATGGGTGGGGGCAGCCTCTGCCCTGTGTCTCTGGCCGCCTGCTGCCCCTGCCCCTCCCAACAAGCTGCCGCGGTTGTGCAGAGAGGGCAGGAGTGCTTTTCAAATGACAGCCAGGAGCCAGGGGACCTAAAGGCTCAGTGAAGGTAAAAGAGAGCTCGGGCATTTCCGGGAAGCATCCTAGACTGACTTCCTAAGGCAGGAATGTTTATGGAACGGATTTTTAGACCCATGATTAGCTAAACACTCCTCAAACAAGATAAAAACATCTAAATAATGAGGCGTCGAGGCCAACACCCGCACCCGCACCATCTGGCAGGATGCAGGAGAGGGCACCCTGCCACCAAAGGGGTTAAGACCATCACAGCTCTGCTCACTTGCTTCTCCCCACATGCCCTGGGGGAAGGGGTGGGGTGGGGGCCCTTGAGGGAGCTCAGGCGCCAAGCCTGGGTGCAGGCAGCAGGCCTGCAAAGGCTTCCTTTCTCACGACTGACCTCCAGATGGGCGTTGATTTCTTTGACAAGCCTCTTGGACTCCACCAGATCATTGGTTTTCATCAGCTTCCTTTTCAGGATCGTGAGGACCACCTCAGGGCTTGGCGTGAGGTCAAGGTTTGTGACTGGAGGCAGGGAGATGGGAGAGCTGGCTTTGTGCTTCACACCTTGGAACTGCATTACTTTCATGTTGGAGATGGACTGGGGAGAGGTGCAGAGAAAGTCGGTCTGAGTGGCGAGAGTGGAGGTGCCAGGCATACCCCTCACAGGTCACACCCATGGCCTCAGGACCACTGAAGGCCACGCCACATCCTGAAAACACAGGCTTGGCCCCCGGCTTGGATGAGGCAACAGATATGAGCACCTGAAATTCGCCAGTGATGAACTCTGGGGGTGCCGGGCATACCAGGGAGAGGCCCAGCTGTCCCCTGTCATCTGAGTGCCAACACTGCCCAGTCACAAGGCCTCCAGACCAGGGCATCTTGGCTGGCAGTGACCCGGGCCTGTGCTCCCCACCTGCTCTTGACCAGGAGCAGGAAGGTGCCTGGCCTCCATCCAGGAGGGCTGAGGTTGGGCAGAACCGGGGCCTAACTAACTGCTGGGCTCGGCTTGACCACAGAGACCTCTAGACTGAATCCCAGCGACAACCGAAGAAAAGCTATGAGTATTCTTGTTCCAAAATCAAAGCAGGAATAATCAAAAACAATTCTAAGACAAAACAAAATATACGCCAAGAGATAGACAAAACACAATGTCTGAAAAAGACCCACACAACCGCCTCAGCGCACGCCAGAAATGGCCAAAGCCAAGGACACTGTCAGGAGAGTGGGACGTCCAGGGCAAGGTCTGTGGCTGGGAGTCCCCCTTCACTGGGGCGAGCCTCACAGAAAGCCAGAGCCTGCCTGCAGTCACCTGCCCCGCCTGGCTCTAGCCCATCTTCCCAGCCCCCCCAGGCTCTGCCTATCCTGCCGGCCCACAGCGCCCCAGGCCGCAAAGGGCTAGGGGTGGCTGAGTTGCTGGCTCACAAGTTCTCCAGAAGGCACCGCTCTGAGCCCGTGAGCTCGCAGATGGTGCCAGGCCTCTTGGGGAGCCCCACGCCACGTGCCTCTTGCCCACGGCCCCGAGGAAGCACCCCAGAGGTACAACCGGTCTAATCCACCCAATGAACTTACCTATCCATGCCCCCCCCACCCAGGGAACCCTCTGGGCATAGTGGGGTGCCAGGAGTCTGACAGCCCAAAGGTGAAGGTGACACCCTGGAAACCTGGAATCCAAGGGCTGGGGTTCCCTGGGACAAGGCCACGAAGCCTGAAGGAGCAGCGTTCATGGGGCGGCCAGTGGTGTGCGGAAGCCACGTTAGTGTCTCAGACAGCGCCTCTGTAACGCTCCTCGTACACTGGGCCCCGGCAGGGAGGCCACAGACCCAGGGAGGCTGACCAGGCGGCTCCAGGCTGCAGAACTCTGTGAGCGTGAAGCTCTCAAAGTCTGACTCAAAGCCCAGCCACAGCCTAAACTGGCAGCGCCAGCCAGGCCTCGGGCTCATCTCGCCCAGATGCCCTCCGGCCGCCCAGGCCACATGTGCCCGAGCCAGCCTGGGGCTCCAGCGGCCAGCGCGGCCGACCCACCTTGTTCCCGTACTGCATGACGTGGCTGGTGTTGGTGTGGGACTTCACCAGCAGGTACTGCCTGTGCAGGGTCTCTTTGGTCAAGTCCTCCTGCAAAAACGAAGTCATTCAAGTCCTCCGCTGCCCTGGCCTGTGGCCAGCCTCGGCGAGCAGCAGCCCCCGGCGCTCACCACATCCGAGTCCTCCATCCAGTTGACGCTGTACCAGTCCCCCAGGTACGTGGACCTCTTCTCGTCGTAGTAACAGGCGTAGGACGACTCTCTGGGGTTGGACGCGGTGGTTGCGTACACTAGAGAAATTAAAGCCACTTTGAGCCACATTTCAACCCCCTGTCATTCCACCTGAACTTTCCATCCTTCCTCCTTTATGGTGCCATAGAAGCCCGTCTCCTGCGCTCGGCAGGCGAGGGCAGCCCACACGGCCGCCCAGCTCTGTTCACTCCGTTACAGTAACTTGTGGGAAACTGAATGTAGAAGACAGAGGAGCTATGTGATAGAAGTTTGGCAGTGATAAGATACCATCATGCTTCTGAGGACATGAAACTAATTGGTAATAAAGCTGAAACTTCCCAGTGGCTCCAGAAACTGAAGAACATGGACTGCATTTCGTTTGAGGAACTTAACATTTACTGAAGTATCACTGTGACTGGAAGCTGCTGCCTACCAGCCTGCCGGGGGCGCCGCGGTGGGCTGGACAAGTGTTATAACGGAACATTTGGTTCTGCCACCAGACACGACCCGTATCCCCATTTTACAGATGGGGACCAGTGAAGGTCACGGAGGGAAGTCACCTGCCAGGGCCAGAGGCCAAAAGCAACATGGTCTGGGCTATTAACTGGGTCTTGAGGGGCTTCACTGGACCCTGGCGAGCATGAGAAGCCCACGTGCACATTCTTCACCCGACCGCTAGCCTGAGGAGCAGAGGCACCGTGGCCTGCACCCACCCCCCAGCCCACCCAGGCTGGCGGACACAGGTGTCTCACACCGCCTGTGCCTCTGAGCAACACACTCACCCGCCCGGCACAGAGCCCACCACCCACCGTTGATGTCTTTGGGCAGGTGCTTCATCATGGAGCCGGACTCACAGGCCTCAATGTAGAACACCATCTGTGAGTGAACGAGACAGGTAAGCCACACCTAAGCGGGCCCAGGCCTCTCGGAAATGCTGCTCCGGGTCTGCCTGCTCTCGGGACCCACAGCTCAGGGTCTCTCACTGTTGTTTCTGGAAGTTATTTCTGCTGTCAGAGGCAGCTGCTGCTGTCACAGAATGTTAGTCACGTTTACCAACTTCCATCACTAACAGAAGTCAGTATCTAGCAGGTGAAATAGAGCAGAGAAAATGAATCCACAGGTGATGCTGAAAAAAGATGTCTCGCTGACCAATATGGGAGACCGAGGCAGGACATGCCACACATTACGGTACACGCATATGCTACGTGCTACTGCCATGGATATGCCCGGCTGGTGTCTACAGAGGGGCAAGCGAGGGCGTAAGAGTGGCACCTTCCTCCCCAAGTCGGCCCCAGTCCCAGGACAGCAGCTCTGGGAGGGTCTCCCTGGACCGGCGGCCTCAGCGTTACCTGGAGAAGCAGATTCTCGGGCCACCCCACACAGCTCTGAGTCAAATTCTGGGATGGGCCTCCTTTCTGTGTTTTCACAAGATCCTCAGTGATTCCAGTTTATCACTGATGTCCCACAACACAAAAGATTAGTTCTGGGATAACTGACTGGCTGAGAGGACGTGCTTTCCAGAAAGCCGCTGTCCAGAGCTGTGCGGCCAGCCTAGCACTGAGGGGTTCCTCCCCACTCCGGGCCGCCCAGTGCTGACTTACCTTTTGGTACTTTTTATGATCGTACATGTACTGGATGGTTTCGTTTAGGTCTTTGACATGGAGCTGAAAGGTAAGAGCACAGATGTTCAGACCAACACACCCAGAGCACCCACTGGCTGGACAACCCACTACTAAGGGCCCCATGATGCTTTACAAAATTCTTATCTGCCAACCTGTAGAGATAGTCGCGGTAAATGTTACCCCAGGATGTCCCCAAGTGTTGTGATTTTCCCCGCGAGTAGAGGGGTGGGGACACGGCTTTGCCATCCTCTGCCCCACACCCTCAGGGGCCGGGTCCCACTGCAGCGGCTGGTGCCAGCGCCCAAGTGCTGAGACTCTCGGTGATGCCGCAGCGTGAAGGGGCCATGACAGACCTGGGACAGACATGGCTGCTCATGTCCCACTCACCCACCACCAACCAGGAACAGCCCTCATTGGACGCAACAAACACGCGTGACAGGGCTAACGCCCAGTGGGGTTTCGTCTGCCATTCTCCTAACTTGTCTTCACAGTGTGAAGAGAAACTTACCTCGTCGTTAGGGAACACCAGTATTCCCGCGGCTCCATGATCGGTGAAGTAGACGAACACATGGTCCCGGGGGCCACTGCCGAGGGGAGGGGCACAGTGAGAACAAGCATCGCATCAGCCGAGGCTCCTGATGCTACTGTCTTTCTCTCTTTAAAGTTGCCCTAACTGAGAAGCTAACAAAAGTGAGGACTCAGTCTCCTGACTGCAGAGAGAGGCACACAGGGCCTGGTGACGGTCTGCTGAATGCTCTTCTGAAGCACAGGTAGATCCTGGAGCCTAGAATGAGGGTGGGGAGGAGGGGAGGCCCTGCTGGGCAGCACGTCAGCCCAAACAGGCAGGAGTCGGCTGCAGGTCCTCCAGCAATTGGGCCTCCTCCCAGGCAGCCACACTTCAGCCAGATTTCTCTCCAAATGAGGTGAAACCAGGAGCCTAGACACATAGCCAGGCAAAGACCTGTCACCCCAAGTCCCCTCCAGGCCCTGGCCTGCAGCCTGGGGAGATACCAGGACCCGGCACCCTCCCTAGGGGTTCCAGGCTGTGAGGCTGTCACCCCTCACCTGGAGATCCTGGGGTTCACCCACACGATGTCTGCATCTGCACGAATGCACATAAGCCCACTTGTGCCCAGGGTGCCACACACTATCGATAACTCGAGGCCCTCGGGAGGCGTGCTACTAAGCCCCCCGACATTGCTAGACATGTTCTGAGGGCAGTGCTCCCCACAGTCTGCGGGGCAGCACCGGGCTGGCTCCCCGAATAGAAAAGCTAGTTGTGCGCGTGGTGCTCCTCACCAGAGGGCTGTGACAGGGCTCAAGGCTGGAGGCGGCGTGGGTCAAGCAACCGACCAGCCACCACGCTTCACACCCGTCTCAGAGTGTTCCACTAGGTGTGGGAAAACCAGCACCAGGATTTGCGGACAACAGAGAAGAGGGTTTAAGTGGCAGGAAACACTGTGGTAAGCATCACAAGGGACCCTGGGTCACACGGTTAGTTCAGCACAGCAGTGAGTTGCCAAAAGAAGCCACTGCCCTTGGCAGGCTATCGAGAGCCAGACAAAGTCAACAAGCCAGGGGCAAGGAACAATGTCTGCCTAAATTCCCTGCTCTGCATAGACAATACAGTAATGCCAGGAACCCTCAACACCCCACTTTCAGCAACAGATCATCTAGAGAGAAAAATCAATAAGGACCCATTGGACTTGAGCTATTCTTTAAACCAACTGGAGCTAGCAGACATAATGAGAATGTTCCATCCAACAGCACATTCTTCTGTATGCTCAGAAGATGGTACATAGACATGTCAGGTCACAAAAAAAAAATCTCAGCAAATGTGATAACACTGAAATCATATTGAGTATCTTTTCCATCCACAATAGCATAAAACAAAATATCAGGAAGAAAACTGGAAAATTCACAAGTATGTGGTTAACAACACACCTCCCCCTGAAGTCAGAGAAGAAATCAAAAGGCAAAAAAAAAAAACAAACAAAAACAAAACCATGACATTGATTCTCTGTCCTGGGGTTCTAAATCATCCCAAAAGGTGTGATTTCCATAAAACAGATGTTACCTCTTCAAGACTTTTCCAGACCCATTGCCCTTCACTGCTTCTGCATCTCCTCTCAGCACAGCAAGGAAATTTTGTGGGGTGACATCCTACAAAGAATTGGAATTTGCAATCAGATAGAGCTGTTTGATCAGCTTACCTAGAGCGTTTGCTGAACCCGGCAGATCTGGCCCCTGGCCCACACATCCCCTGCTTGAGGCTTATAAGCAGATACTCTAGGACCAAGAGGATCAAAAAGAACCTGTTGCTCCCTGGTGGCGCAACATGTTAAAGTGCAGCACTATGAAGCTTCCACAGCCACTGCAGCACAAGTTCAATCTCTGACCAGGGAGGCGACCCACATGGCACAGCTGACCTCTCCTGTCTCCGCACTGCTCCCCTCAGCAGTATGTTTCAGTAGATCTGCCTGTTCTGCTCCCTACTCTGTCTCTGGTGAATCCTCACCCCTCTATCCCCTGGGCCTGTGCCCCAGTTCTTTTATGTATAAATACAACCTTAAAAAAAAAAAAAAAGAGCAAGGCCCATGTTTTTGGGACCCTGCCAGGAGCACAACTCAAATACCACTGTGGGCGCTGGCTGATGGCAATTCAGCAAGCCTGCCAGTCCTTGACAGTTACGGAGGTTCCCATGGGAAACCAAAAGACGCCAGAAAGTGGGGGTAAGTAAGATGGGCCAGACGAGCACACCACCTCAGAGACACAGCAAGAGGGAGCAGACACATCAGTGCTGGGCCTTCCCTCTGAAGCCTCTTCATTGCCTGTAAGTCTGGTTCCAAGGACATTCAATGTCCGTAACGGAAATTTTGTAAAATTTATAGCTGGTCATTTAAAAAAGCAATATGGAAAAGTACAAAAGAAATAAAATTAAAAAACCCAAATCCTACCATCTAATTCTAGGCACTTCCATATAACATGATAGAAATCACTTCACAAAAATGGGACAAATATCGCATGTACAATGTGTTCGACTTCACTGCACTTAAAAGAAGAAAGAAAGTGAACAAAGAATTGCTCAACTTGAGATAAATGTTTATCGTGAGGAACGTTAGTTCCTAAAACATTCCTCTGAAATTAAGATAGAGACCACGAAAACCACAAGACTTAAGTCATAATAGTTTTCAAAAATGTGTCAGTCTATGCTGTGTCAATCACCAGGCGGGGAGTGGCGTGGGAGGGATGATGGCATCAGGGATATCTCAGCACAAGGAGATGCTCTCTGCACAGGACTTGGTGCTGGAAAATTCTAAGTGTGATTTTCAGTAAAGAATGCACATCGTTAACATTCAGGTGAACGCAAACTTTGAGATCTTATTGAAGGAAATATTTCAAGTTTAAAGTTTAAGAAAACTAGAAACTAAACGGTGTGAACTACAACTTATTTCTGACAGTTTTTCCTCTATCTTTCAAAGCTCTCCAAAGTCACTCAAGCACAATCTTAATATGACAGGAAACACAGACAGAAATCTAGTGAGGTTCTGATCCTAGAAGTTGAGGAAAGAGGAGAAAGTCGCTGAAACAAGAACAGGCTGGCGGCCCCAGCCCACTGCCTCACCTCGCCGGTGTAGTCCTTGGGGACACCTGCGTACACATCCGAGCCATTGGGCCTGTTGATCACGACCCCCGGGGTGGGATTGCTGAAAATCAAAGAACATGCCTGAAGTTCCTGATCTGACAGGTTCTCAAACCTGAACCTCTCTCCTCAGACACACCACTTCCACACAAAACCAGCAGGAGGCCCTGCTTGGGGTCCCAGTGGCCGCCACCCCCAACTCTCCAGCTCTCGGCGGGAGGGATGAAGGGCTGAGCTCTGAAAACTGGGGACAGACCAAAGCCCGGTGTGCCGCCTCCCAGTGGAAGCCACGAGGCCCCCAGGGGCCAAGGTCTCATGGAGGGCGCTCTCGGAGGAGCAGGACTGCAGGAAAGGCAGGACAGAAGACGAAGCCTTGGCAGAGAGCTGAGGGTTTGTTAAAGCTCAGAACAGACAAGGAGCTGCTACGAGGCCACAGTCAAGGGCCCGTCCTTCACCAGGGCCCCAGCAGGGAGACAGGAGTGGGGAGACGAGAGCTGGGTGCCCTCGTACCCCTACTGCCTCACTCCACAGTAAGTGCACGAGGGAAGGAGATGTAAAGTCTGATCAACAAGTAACGAAAGTGAATAGTCTAGAAAGCCGGGCCCGAGGGTATAACCCACCAGCCAGCCTGGGTGTCTGGGGCTCTGTGCTGCCCCTCGGGGACTAGGAACCAGCCATGTTGGACCCAAAGGTGGGTTCTCCGAGCTGAGAGATCCAGCACAACAGCCCCAACCACCTGCAGGCCCATTTCCTACCTCCTGCCACTGCCAGGGTGCCCCAAGTTACATTCAAAGCTCTACAGGAGCAGCGTGTGCAGCTTTGCCTGGGCATCTGTCCACAGGCTACTGTGGGGTCACTCTACAGGGGCCTGCGAGTCTATGACTTTCCTGTACATGCCCTGAAGCCCCACGTGCCCGCTGCTTACTCTTCGGAGTTGGCGATGTCATCGTACATCATCACGACGATCTGCTCGTCGGGAATGCCGTTGCGGTGCACGATCTGGTAGGCGTGGCAAGCGTCGGCCTGGGAGAAACCATGTCATCAAGTGTGAGAATCTGCCCAGCCAAAGGCCAGTTTTGTTCTAATGAACACGTTCTCTCTAAAAAAGATGTGCTGTGAATCTGGTAGCTGAATTATTTTAAAATACATACATTTTTTTCCAACTTAACTTTTTTTCCACCCAGCCCCCACGCCTTTCAGCGGGCACAGCAGGACGCTGGCTCGCAGCACCACCGCGCCTTCAGGTCACAGGGCATCTGGACATTTTTTCCCACAGCTGAAAAGTCTCCTGAAAACACGGATTCAGGCTTGGAAAACAATGAACTCAGGGTGCTGAACAGAGAATCAAAAGCCCAGAGTAACTTCACTCCACCGGGGAAACGATCTCGGCACAGCATCGCTGGGACAGCAAAGGCGAGAAATAACCCATCAAAGGGCCCTGGTCGCCAGAACAAAGCTTCTGAGCACAGAACGGCTGTGAGCAAAATGAGTGAAAAGCAGCTCATGCTTCAAACTAGTTGAATCTCTGGAACAAAATGAGAAAAAGTTGTAGGAGGAAAAAAAGAGACCCCCATGATCACACAGATGTAAGGACGCCGCTGAGTGGCGAGAGCGTAAAGCAAAGCGCAGGGGTGACGGGCTCAGGAGTCCGTGCCCCTGCGGGAGGTGGGGCCTCTCACCGACATCACACAGGACCAGCAGCCGCTTTTCTCTGGCTGGTGCAAGATCCACAGACTACTTAACCTGAACAGATCTAGATATCTGCCTGTTTTCCTAATGAGAAAAACAAACATTATGTCACACCTTCATCTACCCCCGATGACCTCACCCCAGGAAATATCCTTCTGTTACTTATTTCTCTTATCAGACATGAAAAGGTATGTCCATCAAAAAAAAAAAATTAACTTAGGAATAAATTTAGTATGAGAAGTATAAGACTTAGCCACTGATAATTCTGAAATATTCCTGTGGGAAATTAAAGATAAGTAAACACAGAGATCGCTCATGTTCATGAATCAGGTTTCACACTGTGAAAGAAAATGAGCAAGTTTTCTTGAAGTGATGATGATCCTAAACTACATAAAATCACAACAGACATGGCGCAGCCTAAACAACCTTGGGGCCTCCCTGGTGGCAGGGATTAGAGCGCAACACTGTGAAGCTGTCCGCAGCCACTGCAGCACCAGCTGGATCCCCACCAGGGAGTGACTCACACAGCACAGCAGACCTCTCCTGGCCCGCCCGCTGCTCCTCTCAGCAGTGGATTTCAGTCATTCTGCCTGTTCTGCCCCCCACTCTGTCTCTGGGGAATCCTGTCACCCTCCACCACTTCTGGCCTGTTCTTGTATGCATAAATAAATCTTTTTTTAAAAATCTCCAAAAAGCAGACAGGATTTTCGCTTCCTGATTTTAAAACACACTAGAAAAAGAGCAGTATTTTCGATAAATGATGCTAGGTCTGTTTGGCTGCCCACATCCAAAAAGGTGTCATACACAAAAATCAATGCAAATTGAATCAAAGAACTAAAGATAAGCACTATCACAAAATCAAACTTTTGAAACAACACAGGGAAAGTCCTTAGAACCTTAAGTTATAACTGCAAAGATGTCACAGATATGAACTAAAGATACGGTCTATGTTCAAACAAACTGAACATTATCAAAAGCTATCGTGCTTCAAAAGACACTATTTTACAAAATAGTAAAGCAACGACCATGTTTGCTGAAGACATTCCAATTAAAAAAAAAATGAAAGATAAGTAACAGAAAAGGAAAATATCTTAAAACACTGTGTCCAGAATACCAAAGGACGCATACCTGCATGAGAATCAACCCCATCAAAAATAGCTGAAAGAGTTGAACATTTCACTTTAGCAGATACACAAATGACTAATAATGTGCACCATAAAAAAAAAATACTATCGCTCATTATCAGGAAAATGCAAATTAAAACCACAATGACACCCATGTCATAGCCAGACAGTGACAGGTGCTGGCAGGTTGTGGACGCCAGGAACCTCTCTCCAGGGCTTATGGGAATGTAAAATGGTGCAGCCATTCTGGAAAAAAAGCTAAACGGTTTCTTTAAAGCCTAAACATGAATTTGCCACATGACCCAGCAATTCTACTCGCAAGTATCCACCCAAGAGAAAGAAAAACACTGATCTCAACATAGATTTGCACACACAGGTTCTCAGCATCACTCTCCAGAGGTCAGAACAGGCTTACCCACACCATGGACCTCGGGCTGGGCATAAAAAGGAAGGCCATACTGACCTCTGCCAGGACACAGACAGGCCTCAAAAATACAGAGGCCCCATTCCTAGGAGATGTTCAGAAAGGGCAAATATAAACTTATGAGGGAAAGCAGACTCGTGGCTGCCTAGAGCTGGAGGCGGGGACTGCAAACGTGGGCCCCAGGGATCTCACTGGGGGGACGGAACTGTCCTAAAACTGGTACACAGTGACATTTGCATAACTCGGCAAATTTTCTAGAATAACCTGAGTGTACATCTGCAATGGTGCGTGATGTGTCCATGAGAAACCTGCCTCAGCAAAGTCCTGATGTGAGAAGGGCTTAGCACCTGTGAGGGACAGAGTGGATGGATCTTGAGCTAATGCGCAGTGACATAAGCCCGTGTTGTTTCTACACTTGTAGACGTGTAGAATATCAACCTCAAACAGAACAAACTGGTAAAACAACACTATTAATTATTGCACTATGAAAAATACACTAGTTAGTGGGAGCTGCAGGGTGAGTGAAGCATATGCACATGTGAGGGGTGAAGATGTACCCCCCAAACCAATTATGTAAACAATTGGCAAATCAATAAAATTCAAGAAAAAAATAAACAAAACAGCATCACAAAACAGCACCACACTTAACAATTGCTAAGCAATTGCTTTGTGTGTACCTGGGATGGTAATCCTCCCTATCCAAAAAAAAAAAAAAAAAAGAATTTGTGAGGAATGTTGTATTAATCCAAGAAACATTTAAGTCTCTATAATAAATAACAAAGGTTTAGAAGTCAGATGCTCTTTTGAAGATTAACCTCAGAGGTCAAGAAAGCCTGAGCGGCCTGGGGGAAGAGAACCAGCAGGCAGGGCCAGGGACTGCGGTGACTCAGCACCACTCGCCCTCTGTCCAGGCTCAGCACTCTCCTCTTACTCAGCCATAAATATTTCAGGCTGCGGCAACTTCTTTTGCCTTGCGTCCCTTCCCCCTAATACTTCGAAACTGAACATCGGACCCAGGAAACCTAGCAACACTTGTTTGAAAGAGGTGTTCTGGGAGTAAAGGGTAATGGGGTCAACGCACACTTACTAATGTTTACCCAACATCTTTTCAAGTCAGTTGTATAAAAACAGGTCCACCTGTTCACCCCAGGATTGCATTTAACACCTCCCCTTTCCAGCTCCTGCTTAAAACTGAAGGAGAAAGCTGAGAGCTGAGCAGGTTCATTCTCAGGTTGCGCCTTTGTAAGTGGGTCAAGTCTGTGGTTAAGCGTGAAATACAAGGATCATCTTGTGATAACACCAGCTTTTTAATCAAGCCCAATTTCCTATTCAGCTAACACACAAAAGCCCTTGAATGTAGAAGTCAACCAACAATCAGCAAATTTTAGAGCTGGGAGGGAGTTCATTTAACAACACTCCCCCATTTAACAAACATGGAAACTGACACCAGAGAAAGGAATACACTTGAGGGAGCCCCACCATAGCAGCAGGAGCACCCCACCAGCGGGAGTCCTGTCAGCAGGCCTGCACTGTCCAATACATGAAGCCATGGAGCACGTGGAGGTGGCTGGTCCAAAATGAATGCCCACAGATGGCCGTGTACACCGGACCACAATGTCTTGGCACACGTTGAGGGTGAGGCATCACTCAAATTTTTATGGTGACTGTAAGTGCAATAATAATAACTTGGATGTACCAGATTAAATAAGACATAGGAAAGTTGATTTCACCTGTTTATGGCTCTTCCTATCACTCCATGCTGCTCTGGAGCCAGTTGGCCTGGGGTTGAACCCTGGCTCGACCTTGGCTCTCCTGTGCCATGAGGGACGAGGTGCGGACCCTTCCTGTGCCTCAGTCCGCCCAGGTACAGGGGAGATGAAAGGCAACACTGCCACACATAGCGCCACTGCAGGGGTTCGCTAAGGGCATCTGTGTCCAGGGCACTTACGAGAGGGCACAGACACACCAACAGGCTGCACATTTGCGTCTGAGGATTAAAGTATTACATGGCATGTCTAAGGACAGCTGTCTTGAAGTACAAATCACACTCCATCAAAGTTAGACTTTTAAAATATATAATTCAGTGGTTTCTAGTATGTTTGCACTGTGGTGCAACCATCAGCACTAATTTCAGGACATTTTCATCACTCCAACAAGACCTACTAGCAGTCACTCCCCGTTTCCTCTTTCGCCCAGATCCCGGCGACTCCTGATCTACCACTCTAGATCCCCCTCTCTGGCCTTTCATATAAATCTTGTAACACACGATCCTTTTGAGCCTGGTTCCTTTCACTCAGCATGTTTTTCAGGTCCATTCATGCTAAAGCACGTGTTACTCCTTTGTTCTTTTTATGGCTCAGAGCAGCCCCTTGCACGGACAGGCCACATTGCTAACCTGCCCACTGACAGTGGACACTGGGTTGTCTCCATTTTTGGTTATTACGAATAAAGCTGCCGCAATCTATCGAGTACACATTTCTGTGTGGACAGACTTTCATCCCCTTCAGGTGTGTGCCCAGGAGTGGGGCGACTGACTCACGTGCTAAGTCTGTGGCAGATCTTTTGGGGAACAGCCAGACTGCTTCTCAAAGCGGCTTCCCCATTCTGCATTCCCAACAGGCGGCTGCACTTTGATGTGGACTCTTTCCTCACTCCTGCCACGCGAGTCTGGAGGAGATGCCAGGAAGGATGGGGACGGGGTGGCAGCGGGGCAGCGGCAGGCAGGGCAAAGAGGCCTGGGGATGCTCTGACCAAAGCCCGGGCCTCCAGTCCCGTCAGGCCTCCCCCCACTGTGTGGCCTCAGGTGAACTGCCTGTTAAGTCTCATTTCCTTACCTATAAAATGAAGGTGTCAGACCAGTGCTCTCACTTGGGGACATCTGGCAACTTCTGGACAAAATTTTGATGGGGAGGATAAAGCTCTTGAGATCGACTCCAGAGTGGTCAGAGATGCTGCTAAACATCCAACAATTGGCAAGGTACCCCACAACCAAGACCTACCTGGCCCCAAATGTCATTACCTGAGGAACTGCTAACCCCTTCCAAAGGGGCTGTACCACTTTATAACTGCCCCACAATGTGTAAGGGCTTCTATTCCCTTTATTGTCACCAACACAAATTTTCTGAGCTAAGCAGAACATCGATAGCCTTTAAGAAACCTATTCAGGGCCCTTCCTGGTGGCGCAGTGGGTTAAAGCACAACACTGCGAAGCTAGCAGCAGCCGCTTCCACACCAGAGTTCAATCCCTAACTGAGGAGCTGACCCACATGGCATGGCAGACCTCTCCTGACCAGCCCACTGCTCCCCTCAGTAGTGTAAGTTGTCAATCTGCCTTTCTGTTCTCCACTCTGATGGATCCTCTCATCCCCTGCACCTCTGGCCTGTACCCCAGTTCTGTATGCATCAATAAATAAATCTTAAATTAAAAAAAAAAACGATTCATTAACAACAACACTCTATAAATTGTCAGTGTCTTTATAAAAAAGTGTCACTTCTTACCTGGTGCCTATAATTATACCAGCCATTAGAACCTGCCACAATCACCACCCAGTGCTTGCCCCCATCCTCGGGATCGTCCACAGGAACAGCACCAATTCCCAGGGCCACGCTGAGCAACACGGTCACTCCCCAAATCATTCTGCGCCCTGGAGTCTGATGGCAAAAATCTGGGAAGAAAAGCACAGAGTCAAGCAAAGAAACTCCCAAGAAGAGACAACATGTGGCCTTTGCGAAAATATCACAATGAACACGTCAACAAGGCCAGTCAGTAATCAGACAGAACATACAGAGAAGAAAAGTGGTAACAGAGCAGTTTTAGTCTGTGTTCTTCTGTGCTATTTCCCCCTGTGGAGAAAGGGGTTGCCAATATCCCCCAATTTCACTATGTGAGGTTGCAAATCCAAACCAAAGATTGAGGGAACCTTTTAAAGCTTTTGTCACAACTTGGAACATGGCAGATAAAATTCATCCACAAAATTCACTGTGCTGGAAAAATGTCTACCAGGTCTCACAAGCTGCTCAGAAAACATACGTAATGTGCGCACAGAAAAATGTAGAAGGCAGATAAACATGAAACAGCAGCCACAGCAGTGGTAAATGGAATTAGATGACTTTTCTCATTATTTGTCTCTTTTTACTATAACTGACATATATTAGTATACAGTCAAGTTTGTAAAGTTCAGTATGTGCTCGAGATAGACACTGATGGGCAAGGTTCAAGCCTGGGAGTGAGGCCTCAGGGTCAGCTACCCTCAGACACTCTAGCCCAACGTAACGCCCGCTGTGACACGGGCACCCCGCGAGGGTGTGTTCTGTGCAGCAGGCAGGGCGAGTATTTTACTCCTTCATTTTCAGGGAGATGAGGCTGAGGCAAAGAGTAGGTGACTTGCTCGGTATTCTCGGAGTGAATATTCTCACCTCGGCCGGGACCAGAACGCACAGGTCTGAGTCCCTGGCCCAGCCTCTCTCTGCTATGTGGTCCTACCTCAAGAGACTTAGTTATTTAGGCGAGCAAGGCAGCTAGCCCCAAGAGATTAGCTGGCTGATGGGGTGGCAACGAGGAAGATGATAACAAAAGTGTTCTGTTGTTGTTTTTCTTTTTTGAGAAACTAAGTTTCATGTGGCTGCTTCCATGTTGGAAGGCTTTTCTCGTTTAAGCCTTTGGGGTTTACAACATACTGTTTGTCAAGTTTTACTCATCATCCCAGATCAGATTAGAGCTTTTAAAAATAAGTCCTTTCAGTAGGCGGAATGGCACTGCTCCAGGAGTTAATAAGGCAGGTTATGCAGTTGCGGGTAGTGGTTTTGTACAGCAAGCAAAATTGTGTAATTTATCAGCCAGCCCCCC